GCCATTTTGCGCGTTGGTAGTTGCCATGGCATTGGGTATTCCGCTGAGGCAAGTACTTCGTCTCAAGCGTCAAAAATGGCGATACAAATAAAAATATTTCGCCTCAAATTGTTGATTTTCAACTGCTTCGCCAGGGCATTTTTTTTAGTCGATTGGTAATTCTAATGAGTGATATAGTGACATGATTTGTTCAACTTTGCTGTTTAGTCTTGTATTGTTGTATATGCTCTTCGCAAATTGTTTTAAATCGACTTAATTCAGTGAATCACGGCGCAAGCAAGTTTCTTTGCTATTTATTGTCACGACTAGTAATATAATTCCAACTTTCCAACACAGGGCATATTAAAACAAGTTTATATCTCGCTACTTGTGTTGTCAGATTGCTGCAGGAGAACGTTAATCCTACCCGGCAGAGCACATTTGTATTATTATCGGTATATATTGCGTCATATCAAGTCACGTGACTTCCGGTTTAGAAGTTGGCATCTCTAAAAAAATTTTTAAAAGTTGTACTAACAACATTAACTTATAAAACATCCACTCAAGTGCACTAAGAATATTTAAATGATTTTTCTTTTATTTAATTGTATTTAATTTTATTGATGTAATTGGACCCAGGCATTAATACACCTGAGCAAGAAGGACGGTAGAATTGAAGGTGGTAGTTTAAGTACGAACGAAATTGATGAAGCTCACACTGTGTGGATGAAGGAAATGCAACCTGAGATAGGGGAATTTGAACACTGGAAGATTCAGTTTGACCTTTATCTTGACGAAAAAAATGTATGGAGATGCAAGGGAAGATTGGGAAGGGCAAACTTGCCATTAATGACGAAGTATCCTATCATATTGGACAAGAATCATTATCTCACAACCCTAATCATTCGGGAGTGCCACAAGAAAGTGATGCATAATGGCGTAAAGGAGACCCTGACTGAATTGCGATCCTAGTGTTGGCATGTTCGAGGAAGACAGTTTATTCGGACACAACTGGGCAAGTGTGCTACTTGCCGCAGGTTTGAAGGAAAACTTTACCAAGCTCCACCCGCACCTCCGCTGCCAGAGTTCCGAGTAAACGAGGCACCTCCCTTTACTGCGACGGGCATAGATTTTCTCGGTCCGTTATACGTGAAGACGAGAGAGGAAAATCCGAAAGTCTGGATCTGTTTATATACATGTTGCGTAGTCAGAGCACTACATTTGGATGTCGTGCCAAATTTGACGTCAGAAGGATTCATGAGGAGTTTCAAAAAATTTACTGCCCAAAGAGGAACACCATCAACTATTATAACGGACAACGGTGGGACATTTAAACCCGCGGCGAAAGAAATTACTACCATTTTAACTCATCCTGACGTAAAAAAATTCTTTCCTGGAAAGCGCATAACATGGCATTTCAACTTGGAAAAGGCCCCTTGGTGGGGAGGCTTCTTTGACAGGCTGGTGAAAACGACGAAGAGATGCTTAATTAAAGAAAACCTTGGGAACGGCTAAACTCACAAAGGAAGAGCTTCTCACAGCAACAGTTGAAGTAGAAATAATCCTCAATTCTCGCCCTCTTTCGTATATAATTTCCACAGAGGACTTCGAAGAACCGCTCACGCCTTCACATCTGCTGATAGGCAGAAGGCTATCGAGTCTGCCAGAACCCAACTACAATGAGGACGATACACATTTTGACATTAAGTTAGATACGGATGATTTAAGCCGGAGGATGAGACATTTAAGTAATGTTATGAATCATTTCTGGTCGAGATGGAGGAATGAGTACTTGAAGGAGTTGGGAGAATCTCACCGAGTTGAGAAACGGAATGAAAATGAAACCGTCAGTCTTGGGGATATTGTAGTAATCTACGAAGAATCACGTCCCAGAGGACTTTGGAAAGGTTGAAAGTTTAATCTCTGGAGCTGATGGACGAGCTGTAGTAAATGTGTTTTCAAAGGAGCTGTAGTAAATGTGGTAGAGGAGCTGTAGTAAATGTGTTTTCAAAGAAAGGAAGATCAACCACCATAAAACGACCTGTTCAGCGACTCTACCCTTGGAAATCAGATCTACAGCCAGAGAAAGTAAATTACCTGTCGAAGCCAAGGAGGATGACAAACCAGAAGTGACGAGAACAAGACCCAGCAGCAGCGATCGAAGCGGATAACCGAAGAAAGAGATAGATCAATGACCTTGTTTTATGAGGGTTGTAGAATATATTTATTTATTTATTTATTTATTTAGCTTCGCCTTGACAAAAAACGTACACAATACAAGCACAACAATTCATATACATGAGACATAAAAAGAGGCGGGGACACCACAACAGTTTACACCAATTACTGTGGGCAATATGTTAACAATATATATATATATATATATATATATATATATATATATATATATATATATATATATATATATATATATATATATATATATATATAAATATATATATAATATGTATATATTATATGTTGACAATTATAGGATTGAACTTCGGATATTTTGTTAGTTTTAACTCCTTATCGACCAGCGACATTTTGATGATTTACAACTCAATTGTTTATAACGTAAATATCTCAGCGCGTATTCACCCCCCTTTAAAACAAAGAATACCATTTAAATCCTAATAAAATAACCTTTTCAACGGGGGGTCGAATGCCGTCAAAGCATCACACAAACCAAAACAATCATATATTTACTCACCGCTTGACCAAACATTCGGAATTTTGTTTCCACAATAGCGTATATAACTTGTGAATTCTTCAGAGTTCGCCACAAATCAATATGAGTGAAATATGTGCTGTATTCAAGCGCTTTTATATCCAGAATTTCACTTGAATACAGCCAGTACAAATCTTTATTTTGAGTTTTTAAAAATATCGGGTTTTTACTCGCATGCGCCTGCCACACGCTAAAATTGGCGAATAAGAAGTACCTGTAACCTAGTCTGCGCACAGACTGTCCCTCCCCCACCCCCCCGTGGTGGAAGGATAACAGTCTGCGACCATTTGTCACTAATGCTGTACAGTGACGTAGACGTATAAATAGATATAATATTGTGCACTTCAGCACTTTAATGGCTTTCTAATTTTATTATCCAATCAGCTGCGTTACTTTAAATAGAACTTTATATTATGTAAACAAGGTCAATAGACAATAGACAAGGTCAAGAAAAACAATACAACGAAATCGAAACATAAACTGGCAAAAAAATATGCCAGATTTGTAAATTCTACCAAATTTATTCATCCTAAAAAGTTAAATGCTCTTTTGTGTGACAATGTCTGCTCAACAGCACCCAGAAACTTTATGTAATCGGCAAAACCGGTATACTCGTCTCGAAATTAGCTAAGCAAATTTATGCAAATATAATTTTGAAACGAACCAATGAAAAACTGCCGATCATATTTCGTCGGTAGCTTGTAGGGCATTAGCGTCGAATGACAGCAGACTGTAGTCCCGCGGGGGAGCGGGATGCAGTCTGCGAGCAGACTACCTGTAACCCGATGCACTTGCAAATCACGCTGCAGATGTAATTTGACCTTTAGAATCGATTTCCGACGTTTCCCGAGCGCTAGGATGTAAACACGCGATGTTTTGGCGAATCTAAATCCTATTTCCGGTCAAAAAATATCCCGCTGAGTTCACTAATATCGCAACAGATTGAAATATCGAAATAAAAGACGAAAAACTGAGGCTACAAGGTTCAAAATAACACTGTAAATAGTGTTTTTGATTGTGAATCGAACAAGACTACAACGAAAAAGACATGTGCGAACGGGCCGAAGTTGTGTCTGGCGAAAGGGATGGCTTTAGTGATACATTGTTTACATTTTTCGAACAAATATGTAATTTGTTGAAATATGACACCTCTTGACCTCTTGACCCTTCAAAGGTCATAAATCGCTATAATGTTTGTCTTTGACTAAAACTATCATTAGGAATCAGGAGATATTATCTCGCTGAATCGAATGGTGGTATTTTCATCTACGTAGCATGTACTGAACCGAAGATATGAACCTCCAAAATACTATTTCAGTTCTGCAATAGTTTTCACAGGGCCGGTCGAGAAGGAGTCTGCATATTTTCATAGTGGAAGTTGTTATTGTTAAGCGGAAGCATGGCGCATGCGTACAAAAAACCGAACACGAGGAAGAATTGTTCGAGAGAGAATTTATGTGTTTAACGCCATTTGCAATTAACCTTGCGGCATGCACAAATTTGACATTTGTTCATTGTTTCAAACTTGTCGTTTATTGGATGAAAGTTGACGTTACTATGGGTAAACTTAATTGTTGCTATGTTAAAACTTTTTTTAACCAATCAAAATTCCAGGTTGTTTACAATGTAATTGAAATAACATTGTAAACAACCTCGAATTTTATTGGTTAAAAAATTTATAACTTAGCAACAATTAATTTTGCCGATGGTAATGTCAACTTTCATCCAATAAACGACAAACTTGAAACAATGAACAAATGTTTAATTTGTGCATGCCGCAAGGTCAATTGCATATGGCGTTATGTTGTGTTTTATGTAATAAATTTATACAAAATCAGTGCATGAAGTGAATCTTTTGAATCTAAGAATAATCTTTCCACATATCGAACAACCACTCGGTGATGCAGAGTTGGAACAAATTCATAAACTGTATCGCTATGCCTCATATAGAAGGTGTTCAAGATGGGTTTTCGCGATTTGGGGTAAAGAACATCTGCGAATTTTCCCTTCCTGTGTATATTCGGGCATCAGGAAAGAGTTTTCATACCCAGATGGGTTGTACACACATTTCAAGTTTGCCAAATAAATCACAAATGGCCATGGATAAAAATGTCCAGCTATTGGATTATTTTGCGTTTAATATGTTCCTTGATGGACGTCTCTGGAAACAAACATGGTTACTATCCTATTTGTTTGAGCACTTTCCTACTTTACACCTACAACTTGATGTACATTCCTGGTTGGTCGGTTTGCATTGACATCTTACTGTTGGACATTATCCAGAACATTGTCAGATGATGTCAGATTCTCCTTCTGGATAGGCAGGCTGAGGAAATCTGCTGTGTCGTCTGGCATCAATAGGTGCTTTGCTCTCTGGTTGGTTACCACTTTGGTATTTTTCTACGAATGACATTGGCTCTTTAGGTCGGACCTCCATTGCATGCAGCTTTGCTTTCTTTAAGGTACGGTACTTTTGCCGCAATTCAAGACTTTCAAGTTGTATTTCTTGTATATAACCTAAATTGGTGAGAGTATATTTTTAGTTGTATGATATAAGTATATGTTATTGTAAATTAGAGTGATTGTACACACAGTTGCCATTTTATTGATATTCATTAGTTTAGCATGTTAATTGGGTCATTCCAGAAAACATCCATACCTCCCCCCACGGAGAAAATTGGATGTTAACCCCCCTACTCCCTTCGGATGTCCTAATACACTTATTATTATCAGAAACATTTTTTCTTCCCCTCCGGACGGCAGAAATTTCCTCCGTGGGGGGAGTGTGGATCTTTTCTGGAATGACCTATTCACTAACGTCCAACACTCATCGATATCCCTCGAACGAGTAAAATCATCTGGCGTTAGACAGAGTAAATACTAAAATTGGGCGCATGGGGGCCCATGGCGTGATAAAGGGTTAACAGCTCAAACCTGAAAAAGTTACAAAAGTTTTTAATTCAAGTACATAATATTGATGAAATGGCAACTGTGTGCCTTTTACGGAAATGACTTTTTGGCTCATTTTTAAATTGATTTATGAAGTAAATAATACATAGCTACATAATTACACCACCACATCAACATTTGTGAAAAACTTACTGAAAGTTGGACATTCTTTCACTTGTCTAGCAATAGGTTTCTCTCCCTTAAAGGCCTTTGGATAAACTACAAACCATCTGTCATCTCCTTGTTTGGTTTTGGCTTGATCCCCTTTGGAGTTCTCATTAAATTGCATATTTGAGCAAAACAGCCTGAAATCAAGAAGGAGTGTTTCTATAAAATACCCATACATGCTCAGGCAAGGTGTCTGTGTGAGCTGTTCTTAAAGTAGGATCCTGCTCTCTTATTTTAGTAAAAACGTGTACAGCATTACCACCGGACTTCAATTATAATATGCATACCCCCACCCAAGGTTTGATGGCCTTAAATTTCTGTTTTTGGTCGCTTTCAGTAGCTTTTTCTTCGCACCTAGAGAAGAAAAATCCTTTTTAATAGTGGCTAATTAGACTATATTAAACAACTGATAAGTGTAATTGATTATGTAATTAATATTATGCAATTAGTCAGAATGAATTAACACAATATTTCAACTCATAAGCGCGTAAGACTCTTCCCTTGCCGAGAGAAGTAAAATGCTCTGGTGTTTGACAACTAAAATGCTAGAGAGTTGGGAGCATGGGGCGCATTGCGCGTTGAACTAACACAGGATGCTTTAGCAGCAGTTTAGTTTATAACTACCTTTTGCTACATGCCAAACATCATATTTGTGGTCAATAGCTGGTTTTTCATTTGCCATGTAGGCTGATACTTGCACATGTCGGTCAGTCACAAGCTTCTTGACTTTGTTATTAGCCTCCTCGAGATAGGTCAGTTGTCTCTTCAGGGATTCTAATTCAATTCCATTTGAATTTTTAACTTCAGTGCTCTGCAATAAATTAAATAATGTCATGTATGGTTTTGAAATGCTTGTTAGCATTATTCTCCTTTGATTGATTCGCATATTTTATATTTGACATGTAACTGGAATATATGATAAAAATACGGTATAACGAAGTTAATCGAAACTTGAACTTGTCTTAAGAGGTTAATTCAAAACTCGGTTACCTTTACAACTTGAGTGTCCAGAACCACATTGAGTGTCCAGAACCACATTTCGTTCTACATCATGTGTACTACCAGCGCGGAGCAGTCCACTATGTCCCGGGCTATCTACCCGCATGTCTGACGCTTTAATGATTGACTTGTTTTTAATTCCAATCAACAACTTTTGTTGCTTCAATTTCCACACATTAAAAACGGCCGGGATAACATACCCACTTTGGATGTTGGACAATTCTCGTCTCTTGAAACACAATATGTTCAGCGATTCCATGAACCTCAAAGTTTTATTACACTCCATGCCCGTGCTGCGGATACTGGATGCTATAAGTAAATTCAAAGCAGGTAAGCGATTCATGAGGGGTCCAGTTGACCAGGATATATTATGTGCTGCAGAGGATGTGCATGCGATACAAATCACACAACAGCTCCCAACTCTACTTCGAATAAAAAGCGAGCATTGATTTCCACATTCCATGCACACACTGAAGGTTTTAACAATGGACTCTTCACATATGATGAATTTCAACTGATCTTTGATGGATTTCGTACTAGTTAGCATTATTGGTTCGTCATGTTCTTTTGAATCTTCATCCAATTCACTGTCGTAATCTGATGTTGCCATAAACTCCTCATAAGAACTATTCTCACAATCTGATTCACCTACCGATTGCTGAACTGCATCAGAATTTTCAAATTCAATCGCTTCTGGCTGTTTAGGCAGCTCTATAACGTCAACGACAACATTCAGACAATCATGTGTCATTTTGCCACAATTAGGCACTAATCGTTCTGCATCTGTGTCTATTGCATCCGTTTGTGAACAAGGGGAAATCATAATGGGTTTTTTGGGCATCAATAGTTTTGACAAAGACTCCCCGGTAAGGAATGTCTGCGTGCTTTTTGTTGCCTTTGTTGATCGTTCCATTTCTGCAGATTTTTTCGTTTGCGTACCTTTATTTTTACCAAAATATTCCATTTGGAGGGTCTGACACGATTTTGATTTAGAGAGGCATCATCACAACTTATCTCCGGTTCATCTGCTTTATCACCAGTTTGAATAACCATGGAACTTTTGGGTTGCACTGTATCATTTGAGCATTCAGCTTCAGCAATCAAATATTCTACTTCCTGCATGATAGGAAGAAATATAAACAGTATATTAAATACTTTAATTATTAAATTAAGGTGTTGTCTGTTGATGTTAAGTAAATCCAACTGTATTAATAGGGTGACATTTATACCACCACTTATATACTCATGTATATTGCTATAATCCGAGCTTAGCTGTATTTTAAATCTCTACAACTTCATTTGATAGCGTATGCTTTATACATTACGGTGCGATTCGATGGCGCTCGACGAGATGCATGAACGTATTTGTAAGAATGCTTTGACGATTTTTTGGAACTACAGGCTTAAAAAGGTGATCGCGTTTTTCTTGCACCTGTATAAATGATTGGGGTGTCAGCATATTGGAAGCGTGGGCGTGTGCCTTGTCCCTCACCTCCCCCCCCCCTAATTTTCACATATTGTGTTGTGCTGATTGGGCTTGTCCAATTTTGTAATAGCTTCTTCCCCTATTTCTTTTGCACCCGTTTCCATGGAATTTCCAAAAATAATAATTGAACATAGCTGAGGAGTAGTTCAACTCCATAATTAGTCTGTAAAGACTGTAATTCTTACTCTATGTTGATTTAAAATCATATCAAGTTTTTCCTGAATGTATTTTTCCCTAACATGACGCGCATCTAGTCTCATGAAAATCATTAAAAAATGTATATAATTTATTTCGCATTTGTCCTCTTGAAATCAGTTTATTCTGACTATTTTATATTGTATAGACTGACGTTCACTTACTTTTCTCCTTGCAAGTGCTCCCGTCTGCCTATTTGCCTTTTTCTCAGAGTCTTTTTTCATCGCGTCAAGTGCTGGATTTATGGTCGGCCCTGCGTATGGTTTTAGAAATAATTTCCGCCTTCCTGAAAAGTTTATTGAAGATATATAAAAAGTCAGGAGAATGTGCAAGAATGTATGCATCGTTACAAAAATGAAGAAAACACAAACCGGTATATTTTGATGGAACGAAGTTTTTTCGTTTGCAGAACTCGATCCAAATGTCGCAACGTTTTTTTTCTTCTTTAGTAGTCGCCTTAAGAAATGCAAAAAAGTGTATTTTCTTCTCAGAGTTTTTTTCGCTATTGCTATTGCATCCATAAACGGGACAATACATCGTGATTGCAAAACTTTGTATTGATTTGTATTTCGCGCGAAAAATAATCCCTGTTGTATGTATGTATGTATGTAAAAATTTATTTAAAGACGCTAGCCTTGTCAACAAAGAGAGTTGATTTCCACAAGGGGCGTCGACATTTGAAAATTTACAAAAACTATTTACAAAAAAGACAAATATAAGTACAAATACATGCAATATATATAGTAATTAATTAGAATGGTTTAAAAGGAAGTTGGTGGTTTGGTGTGATTTGGCCATATAAATATGTCTGTAATAATCCATTTAGATTAATATTAGGTTAGTTACTTTGCCTTACAATATTTTTAAAAGAACATATTGATAGGGCTTCCTTAGCTTCACCAGGAAGATCATTCCATAGTTTAGCACCACTATATCGAAAACTCTTTTTCAGAAAGTCGCGTCTTGGCTTAGGAACGGCCAGATCATTCTGAGCATTTCTGAGATCGTAAGTCGTTTGCGAAATATTCCTTTTTATCAAAAACTCTTTCAAGTTCGGCGAACTATGGTCGTTTAGAATTTTATAAACAAGAGTTGCCTTAGTTAATTTTCTTCTAGATTCTAAATTGTCCCATTCAAGAGATTGAAGAACGTCAGCAGACCTGATCTCATAACCAGCACCAGCTATTATCCTAGCTGCTCGATTTTGAAACTTCTGCAATTTGTCTTTTAATGTTTTGTTACAAGTGTCCCAAAGGGGAGAACAATAATCGAAGTAGGGTTGTATCAAAGCGCTATAGATTGATTGCAGCATGTTTGCAGGAACGAATGGCTTGATGCGCCTTAACGTTCCAATACCTGCTGCAACCTTTCTGCAAATTACGTCAATATGCTCATCCCAACTCAACGTTTCATCAAGGGTGGCGCCCAAACAAGGTATTGAGGTTACCCTAGGAATTGGTTGACCATTTAACATTACAGGAATGTCATTATTTATCTTATGGAGATTATGTTTAGATCCTACGTACATTAATTTAGTTTTGGATGAATGGTGTTGCAATTTGTTTTGTTTGAGCCATTGACTTATGTTATTCAAGTCACTGTTCAAATTGAAAACGAGGTGCTGATAGTAATTAGCAGATGAAAAAATCTGTGTATCATCAGCATATAAGCACGGGATTGTATTCTTGAGATTATTTGGGAGATCATTAATATAAAGCAGGAATAGAAGTGGGCCTAAAATAGACCCTTGAGGGACTCCACAAACGAGATTTCTAGGTGTTGACATCATGCCATTGACAAAACACACTTGTTTCCTATTAGAAATGTAGGATTCAAACCATTTTAATTCGATATTTAAAACTCCAAATTGTTCTTTCATTTTACGCAATAAAATATTATGGTTAATTGAGTCAAACGCTTTCCGAATATCAAGAAAAACAACACCGTTCATGTCTCCATTGTCCATGTTAGTGTACCATGCATCGCACATTTGAATAAGTGCAGACAAAGTTGAGTTCTTTGGACGGAAGCCGGATTGATACTTAGAAAGCAGGGAGTTTTCATTTAGATATTTGTATAATTGGTTGAAGAGTAAACGTTCAAAGATTTTACTTATAATTGGTAGAATGGAAATTGGACGATAATTTTCGCATTTTTGTCTGTCTTCAGATTTATATATCGGTAAAACCCAAGCCTTTCTCCATTCTTCCACATAAATTCCAGTTTTAATTGATAAATTAAATATCCACGTTAGTGACGGACTAATTATTTCAGCAGCAATTTTAAGTGCTCTCGCTGGAATTGTATCAATACCTGTTGATTTTGATGTTTTAAGATTGCGTAATTGAAGACACACTTCATGTGTACTTATTTCAGAGAACTTAAACTGAATATCTGGCCTAGAAGGAACACTTTGTAATGAAGTGAAATCAGTGGAATTGATCTCGATTTCGTTAGCTAGTTTAGCTCCGATATTCACAAAAAAATCATTAAAGGACTCGGCTATCTTTATGTCGTCAGAAATAATAACGTCTTCAACTTTAAGTTGAGAAATATTATTTGATTTATTA